CGGTGGGTCCCCTTCTGTTGATTCTTTCGCCAATATTTTTTATATATTCCAAAAATATTCTCCGTGAAGTTTTATGTCATTCTAAGAACTTTTATTTCTGAACAAAAATAACACCAAGGCAATTCTACTGAAAACAGCATCACTCCAGATTAGTTCCGTTCAAATCATGCAAATTAGAGTCCAAAACAAGGACAAAAGAGTTCGGAAAAGTAGATACGATGGAGACGTATCAGCACCCAAAGCTTAACCCATTGCTTGTCCTCACGCAATTTAGTTGACAAACTGAAAGTGATAAAGAGAAACTTTTACAAGCTCTGTTTGATCTTGTTGTTGCAAATATGTAAAGCCAGCATCCAATTTTTCAGCAAAGATTATGAACTAACCATATTCACAATAACTAAGTCATCTCTGACTGCTCTTGTGACTCGAGATACTGGTATTCGTGAAGGTATGTCGCAACACATGTTTGCCGTAGTTTCGGAGCCTTTTATCTCTGAATGTTCTGCTTCTAGGAAGCGCAAGGGGAAGATGCAGGTCCCAGTTGACACTGCCAGCCTTTGGCGTAGTAACTGCTCCAACAAATATGATGGCTTTTGCGTCAGTTCCCTCTCTGAAGCTCGTCCCAGCAAGTCCAAAGTGAAGCCCCGGGTGACACCCTCTGCTTCTACAAACACTTGTACTATTGCTTTGGATATGCAGGGGCAAACTGATCCCGTTCCTCCACCCGCTGCCATCACCACCATGCAAGCTATTGGCACACAACTCTGTGTCATTCCAGAGGAGGAGCTCTCCATTGCATCACTCATGGATGACAAGACGTGCCCCTCTGCCTCGGCATAAGAGTTGAACTTTTCTTTATTTCAGTTAAATGGTACTTTTTCAAAACTAGAATGTCTTATGCTGAATATTCGTTGACTTAACTCCTCTAAAAACAATTAGGGTTGTCAAATGAAATTCGTGCTAGTGGATTCTCTATTATTTGCTTGCAAGAAATGAAAATGACAACATTTAATGCCTCCACTCTTAAGTTATTATGCCCTAAACGCTTCGACAAATACGCTTTCATCCCATCTATAGGCATATGGAGGGGCATTGTGATGATCTAGAATAGCAATATCTTAACTCGTATGGTGATTATTGAAGAACAATTCGCGTTAGGTATTGAATTTATCTCCACCCAAGATGCTCATCGATGCACATTGGTGAATATTTATGGCCCATGTCAAGGGGAACAACGGGATAATTTTACTAAGTGGTTATTTGACCTTGACATTCCCTCTTCTGGAGATTGGTTGCTTCTCAGAGATTTCAATTATATTCGAGCGCCTAAAAACCATAACTTACCTGGACGATACATACATGATTTGTTCACTTTTAACGGTTTTATAAGAGAACAAGAACTCACTGAGCTACCTATCAAGGGACGGGCTTATACATGGTCCAACATGCAGCAAAACCCTCTCCTCAAGCAACTTGACTGGTTCTGTACAAAGCTTAATTGGACCACCTCCTTCCCCAACACATGGTAAACCCCCTTGAACGTCCAGTATCTAATCACATACCTTGCTCGATTCATTCAGACCAAGATACCTAAAAGAAAAATATTCAGATTTGAAACATACTTGATCGCCCATCCAGGATTCATGGAAGTGGTGGATCAAGCTTGGAACGAGCCAATCAAACATGGTAAAAATAATAATGCAGCATCCATAATCTGTCAGAAATTCAAAGATGTACGTCAAGCATTAAGTCACTGGAGCAAGAAAATATCCCGATAAAAAGTGGCCATTGACAACATGAACAAAGCAATTATAGAACTAGATTCCACCGAAGACCGACGAATCCTAACCATATCTGAAGGTAAATTCCGGACTATTCTAAAACATCATCTCATCAGACTTCAACGTTATCAGATAGAATATTGGAAGAAAAGATGCACAACCCATGGGATTAAATTTGGCGACGAGAACACTAAACTTTTCCACACTGTTGCCACTGAGAGATACAGACGTAACTGCATTGCAACCCGGAAGACTGCTAGTCCTAGTTGATGACCATTCAGGAAAAGAATCTATCCTGTTTGAAGCATTTAAACTTTGCACCTGAAACTCTGGTGGCCGGAGCACCAGCAGCGAGAGCAGCGGACGGGATCACGGCAGTCGGAGATGCTGTGGTCACTGGCGAGGCACCGAAAGCATCTAGGTTTTTGTTTTCGAGAGTATCGGTGGTGGATGTGTTTGAGGCTGGCCATCGGGGGAGGGGCTGATTTATAGGCGGGGGAGGCCGGAGGGTGGGAGGGGTCGATTGCAGCGTCCTGAGATGGGGAGCTCAGCAAAACCTCCCGGTAGGAGCGCGGGGTCTGCAGCGGCGTGGAGACCGAAGAGCACGCAGGGGTGGCAGCGATGGCAGGAGCGAGGCACTGGTCTATGGCGATCTCGGGACGAAGCTGAGGGGACGGGGCGTTGTATAGGCTGACGAAGGTAGGGGAGGCAGGTGGTGGAGTAGA